GGATAGGAGGAGAGAGAAAGGTGATGGAGAAGGGAGGAGGAGGAGAAGGATGCGAAGAAGGTGATGGAGGAGAGAGGACGAGAGAGAAGGTGAGGGAGGAGGGAAGGAGGCGAGGAGGAGGAGGAGGGAAGAAGGTGACTGGAGGCAGGAGGAAGAAGAAAGAGAAGTGATGGAGTAGGGGAAGAGGAGGGAGAGATGATGGAGGAGCGGAGGAGGAGGGAGAGGGGAGAAAGGTGATGGAGTAGGGGGGGACCGCATGAGGGGAGAAGGTGATGGGAGGAGGGAGGAGGAGGAGAGGGCGAGGGGAGGGGAGAAGGTATGGATACGGTAGAGGAGGAGGTGATGGGGAGGGAGGGAGGAGGAGGAAGGGAAAGGTGATGGAGGAAGGAGGAGGAGAGGGAGAGAAGGTGATGAGTAGGGGAGGAGAGGGGAATGAGACTGGAGGAGGGAGGAGGAAGGAGACGAAGGTGATGGAGTAGGTGGGGAGAGGAGGAGGAGAAGTGTTTGGAGTAGGGAGAGAGGAGAAGGGGGAGGAGAGAGAGGAGGAGGAGCGAAAGGGTAATGGAGGAGGAGGGACGAGAAGAAGTGTGATGGCGCAGGGAGGAGGAGGAGAGGAGGGAAGAGGTGATGGAGGAGAGGAGGGAGAAGGCGATGGAGTAGGGGGAGGAGGATGAGGAGGAGGAGTGAGAGAAGTGATGGAGTAGGGAGAGGAGGAGGAGAAGGAGGAGGGGAGAAGGTGTGGAATGGAGTAGGGAAGAGGAGGGTGAGAAAGGTGATGGAGTTAGGGGGAGGAGGAGAAGAGGAGGGGAAGAAGCGTGATGGAGTAGGGGGAAAGGAGGGGAGAAGGTGATGGAGGAAGGGGGAGAAGGAGGGGAGAAGGCGATGGGAAGGAGGAGGAGAAGGCAGGAGGAGGGGAGAGGTGGATGGATAGAGAGGAAGGAGGAGGAGGAGGAGAGAAGGTGACTGGAGTACGGGGAGGAGGAGGAGGAGGAGAAGGAGGAGGGAGAGAAGGTGATGGAGTAGGGGTGAGGGAGAAAGGGGAGAAGCTCGGTAGAGAAGGAGGGGGAGAAGGGAGAAGCTGATGGAGAAGAGGAGAGCTGGTGGTAGAAGGAGTAAGCTACGACAGCTTCTCCGCCCTCCTCCTCTCCCCGTTCTCTTTCAAAAACCCACTTCTCCGCTCCACCTCCTCTCCAGCTTCTCCCCCTCTTCTCCCCTTCTCCTTCTCCGACAGCTTCTTGCCCTCGCTCCTCCCACCAGCTTCTTCCCATCCTCGTTCTCGCGGCACTTCTCTCTTCTCCCCTTCCTCCTTCTCCACAGCTTCTCCTCATGCCTCCACCAGCTTCCCTTCTCCGCCTTCCTCCTTCTCCACAGCTTCTCCCCTCCTCCTTCTCCACGAGCTTCTCCCATCCTCCTTCGCACACGCTTACTCTCTTCTCCCGCTTCCTCTTTCTCCACCAGCTTCTCCCCTCCTCCACAACCTTCTCGCCTTCTCCCCTCTCCTCCACCAGTCTCCTTCTCCCCTCTTATCCCCTTCTCCCTCTCCCTCCTCCTCACGCAGCTCCTTTCCCCTCCTCTCTCCGTCCTTCCCGCTTCTCACCAGCTTCTCCCCTCCTTCTCAACCAGCTTCTCCCTCCTCCACCACCGTTCTCCTCTTCTCCCCTCCTCCTTCCTCCACCAGCTTCTCCCCTCCTCCTTCTCCATCACATTCTGCCCTTCTCCATTTCCTACTTGCTCACCGAGTTCTCCCCTCCTCCTTCTCCATCAACCTCGTCCCTTCTCCCTTCACCTTCTCCACCAGCTTCTCTCGCCTCCTCCGGCCACCTTCTCAGTTTCTCCCGGCTCTGCCTCTCCACCAGCTTCCCCTATCTCCCCGCTCATCTCACTCTTCCGTTCTCCCCGCTCCTCCTCCACCAGCGCTCCCTTCTCCCCTCCTCTCGCTTTCTCTTCTACCGACAGCTTCTTGCCCCCTCCTCACCCCTTTCTCGCTTCTCCCCTCCTCCTTCGTCCACCAGCTTCCCTCCTCCTTCTCCACCACCTTTCCCTTACTCCCCTCCTCCGTTCATCCCAACCAGCTTCTCCCTTCTCCTCTCCTGCCTCACCAGTCTCCTTCTCCCCCTCCTTCCTTTCCTCCTTCGCCACCAGCTTCTCCCCCTCCTCCACCACCTCTCCCTTCTTCCCCCTCCTCCTTCTCCACCACGCTTCTCCCTCCTCCTGCACCACCTCTATTCTCCCCCTGCCTCTTTCTCCAACACCTTCTCCCTTCTCCTCCTCCCTCGCACCAGTGCTTTCTCCCCTCTCCTTCTCTACACCTTCTTCCCTATCTCCGCCTTCTCCTTCTTCCACCAGCTTCTCCTTCTCCTTCTCCACCACTTCTCCCTTCCTCCTTCTCCACCAGCTTCTCCCTTCTCCCCTTCCTCATTCCTATAGCCATATTGAGTCGGTCATACGGCCGCCGTGCGTATAGCCATATTGAATCTGGCCCACACGGCCGCCGTGCGTATAGTCACTTCCGTGTTGGAGAGAGCAATAATAAACTGCTTCTGTCCGTATTTTTGACAAATGGCTAATACAACAACTTTGCTAAAACAAATGGCGTTAAGACGCTGACTGCTGTGACGGTGGCAGTCTCAGTTAACCAATGCTAATTTTTGCTACTGCGCTTTACACCCAGCACCTCGTGCGCATGCGTGGCGCATGCGCAGTAGCGCTAGGGTAATTTCAGACTGGGGGTAATCTCAGACCGTGACAGTGGCATTAATTTGCATAAGCGGCGCTGATTGGCTGGCGGTTTCGCGCGCGCCATCTATGAGTTGTGAAGATTTATGAGCCCATTATCACAGTCAGTACTACAGTATCATACTATATACAGTATGTGCTATTGCTCTCGTTTTTATTCATATAAATCTGTAGGAAAATCTGTGCAAATTAATGCCACTATCTGAGTGGGAATAAAAGTCACGCGTCCCGGGTTGGCGCACCAACTCAGGTCTCTACTCTAGAATTAGCTCTAGAACTATAGCCCTTCCCTCCGCGACAGGCCTGTGGCGGAGCGAAGGGCTATAGTTCTAGAGCTTCTCTAGAATATGCAATGGCACAACATCATCCACGCACGTTAGTCTAAATAAGCACATAAATAGGCCCTTTATTATTTCACGATCGCCTATAGCCCGCGTACAGTTGCTGCAGGGCTATAGAAAATTCTATTACGAATGCTAGGGACCAACTTATTCACGGTTACTCGCGGCTATAAAGCGTCTGTGGTAGGCAATTAATGCCTCTTATCCGAAGTGAATCTACTAAAATTTAACCTCTAACTATCGTTGAAATGGTCTGCTTGCAGTATTTCTTGTGAACGAACATTATTTACGATCTTCAAACGGCCATTTTTTGTGGCGCTGCAGCAGCGTCAGTCAGCGGGTTGGTCCCTAGCATTCGTAATAGAATGTTCTTTTGCCCTGCGGCAACTGTACGCGGGCTATAGTAATACTAGTTGTCTTGTATTACTACTGCTCTGCGGTTTATTTTTCGTTGTCATGTCCCATAATATATTAGTTTACCATGTTTTTCCACACTGAGCAGGTTTGCTCTGGTTGGGTAGTAGTAGTAGTAGTACATAACTCATTTTTGTATTGTGCCAATTAAGTCGATCGACACTGAGAGCCATCACTTCCAGTGTTTTACGACCTTCTCGGTTTTTACGTCCCCCACATTCTATGTTACCCTATACTCGCCAGTTTATCATATTTCATTGGCAGTAATAGTTGTTTTGGCTTCTAAGTCCTAGGTTGGAATTTTCCCCAATGCCCTTGACCAGTGCTTTGGAAGCTCTATTAGTACATGCAGTCACAATTATACATATTGAATATCATACCATTTTAAACATTCGAATGTCCTAAAGCATTCGCATAGAGAATAATTATGTAGTTTGGTCCTGCAGGGAAGTGGCTTTGCTCAGATGGATGAGTTTGGAGAATACAAGTTGGTGATTGCTGTGAGATCGGATCTCAAAATGGGGAAAGGAAAGATTGCCGCACAGGTTGGTAGGATTTAAAAGATAAGTTAATAGTGATGAATGATGACTGATGAGATGGGATCATGCCCTGCTGTTGCGTTATGTTACTGCTTAGTGGTATAATACAATACAGAGTTATGTATCGTTTCAGTGTTCACATGCATCAGTGTTGGCATATAAGCAGACCCAAAGAAAAAATCCAGAATTGCTAAAAACATGGGACTACACTGGACAGCCTAAAGTTGTTGTAAAAGTAGAAGATGAAGAACAGATGTAAGTATTATTCTCTTGTTCCCGACTTGCCATTTAATTTATTTATAACATTTAGATGTATATTATGCTCAAGTTTGTATATAGTGCATTATTTTTTGGCTCCATTCTGAATGAATGCATTCTGTATTCATCGTATATATAATGCCCTGACTTATTGAGTTACCATTCTTTGCGTAGGTATGATTTAGCTAAGCATGCAAAATCATTAGGGCTGATAACGAGCATGATAGCTGACGCTGGACGGACACAAATAGCTGCTGGATCAAAAACAGTGATTGGAATTGGACCAGGTATATATCCTTACCATAACTCTGCAGAAAATATTGTTATGCTGGGAGATGATAATATATGATAAAAACAGCTATTTGATAAATGCCAGTACTGTTTATAGCAGTGCACATTATTACATCATATCTATCTAGATATTGATAATTGTAATCTCTTGATTATGACACAGATGGTCACATACAACAGCAGTAGTGAATGTCAATTCCATTCAATAATTAGTGTCGTTTAATCAAGTTTCTTGTAATTTTGTTTTCAGGGCCTAAAGATATTGTGGACAAAGTTACTGGTCACCTGAAATTAATGTGATATACAATTATGAAAATAGAAAAATACATTAGTTTTTCTTAATTTATATTTTTTATTTTTAAAATAAAGGCATACTTAACAAACAGGATTTTTACAAATCAGAGACTTAACATGTAAATTTGGTTCAATGTAGGGCCTAGAGAGTATGTTGGTTTTATAGTGATAAACTGGTGTCCAAATTAAGAAATCACATGCTTGCCTTTCCTTCTCTGTTTATACAGCAATGAATATAAATTTTCTGATGAAACATTTCAGAAACGTTTTTCATCACGGAACATTTCAGATAAATGCTTAATTCCCGCAGAGATTGGGGATATCAGAAAGCAAATGATTTACATTAAAGGGATAGTAGACTCTAGGATTTCACTGCATACAACTGTACTTACTGTATAACAAATCGTCTATACCCACATGTATTTGTCACCAGATGCCTAATTTAATTGTTATAATTAATTACACATCAACGCTACGAAATTTTAACAGCGCCACGACACCCGCGACCGTGCTGCCACCCTGAAAAAGTTGCGTATTTGCCAATTTATTTTGCACGTTACAGACCGAGGGCTAATCACAAAGGTGCAATTATATTCATACCTAAATGCTATTTAACCGAACGATGTTCATTTTAGGACAAATTTATCCCTAATATAACTCCAACTATATATCGTTTATAAGATATTACAATCCTTTTGCTTTTAAATTAATAAATAAGAAACACCCTCGGTCTGTAGCCCTTGGCTGAAGTGGTTTTGCGCAACTTATCAGATCGTGCGCTTTGAGTGCCGCCACCGTCGTTGTAATCAAACTGTAGTCGTTAGTTTTAAAACATTTTTTAATAATATTTCTAATGGTGATTGAACCATGAAACTTTATGTAGCGTAATTTTAACCTAAATTAACTGAAAATAACCCTCGAGCCTAGAGTAAACGATCCCTTTAATATTATTTTAAAGTCACATTATTGCTTTTATCGCCATTATTTGTTATACCTACAAGTGAGTATAAAACACCTTACTATTACCATTAATATCAACTAGATTGGCACAATAGTAAAATAAATTTATACGATATTCAACGATTTGCAATGACCACTTAATTTTAGTCTGTTCATTTGTTTAATCATAAACACGAATGTAACATTTGAGAAATAATATTTACAAACAGTGTACATTCAACGCATGAACTTTGCTATCCTCCCCCTCAGACGGAGCTGCTACCACTTGCACTGCAAAGATAATAACAAGGATATTCAATGATTTATGCAGAGGTTATGAAACTAAAAATTGGGAAAAATTCTGATTGGGTCCGTCAGCCAGTCCTCGAAAACATCTGACGTGCCCTTTTAGCCACTGCCTTCTGGCCATGACATTGTCTTTCCCACTGTAGAAACATTCTCACAGCGACTCTATATACTGAATATGAATAACGTAGGTCAAGCCATTGATACTTGCGTTGCAACTCCACATTTCCTAGAGTCCTATCAAATCTACTTTAAATAGCCGAGGAATGAATTGCAATAATTTGATTTCCCCTCAACTTTTCACAAGCCGTTTTCTTTTCAGATTGCCCCTCCCCCAATGTGCAAAATAGAGCCAGGTAGTTGGAGCCATTTAGTTACAATATTATTGGTGTACAGACGAAAGACAGACGAACATTCTTGCAGTGATAGTAACCGATCTGTCGGATAAGGTAAAAATTTAGCTCTCCTATTATCCACATTGGAAATATACCACACACCTAATTCGTCAGCTGCTATCTGCTCAAAGTAATGGATCTATACAATGTGTCACGCAGGTATGGAAACTGTGCGATTTTATATATATATATACGCTTCATAACAAATAAGTTAGTAATTTTTGTATACGCGCAGTCCTTCGATTGCTTTTTGCAATTTAACCTACATTGGTTTGTGCTTCAAGCTGCTGTTTGATGGACTAGGCTTCTTCTTTGATTTCTTTTTATTCACCAATCTGAATACAACAGTGCAATCATTCACCTTCACATTTACTCCAAAATACCTTCACAAGAAACGAAGCAAAAACTTTGTATTTAAGTCTACATCTACTAATCAGGAATGTTACTAATCAGAGGCAAAGCAATTAGTGGTCTTAATTTGCAAAAAAATCTTGGAACGGTATTTAAGCCGCGTGATTTCTTCAAGTTCATATCTACCTACCGTGTCAATGACGACGATCGTGACCGAGACCTCTTCTTTTTCTTCCTCAACTTGTTACTCCTTTCTGGCGTACGTGACTTTGATCGTCTTGATTTCTTTTTTCTCTCTGGTGACTTTGCTCTGTGTAACCTGATCAATGAGAGAAACAGGATTTAGCAGGAATGGTAAGCAGCAAGGAGCTAAATATAACAAGGAGAGGAAGCACTGCCATATCTGGCCCAAATTTGGGTTCGGCAGAGACCCTAGAACAGATTAGTGTTCTATTGTCTCTGGGTTCGGTCTGCACAGCCGTTTCAGCTCATTATGGTCCATAGATGGCGCCCTTGAGGCGAAAAGCACACAGCCAATCCGCTTCCTCTCCTTGTTATATTTAGCTCCTTGGTAAGCAGCACTTCGGTTTTCTTAGATATTACATCTTGCATTGGTATACCAACTACATCGTTACGCCCACTGTCACACACCTCTTTCTTTCTCTTGACCTTGAACGCCGCTTGTGCCGACCTTTTGACCGTGACCTCGATCGTTTTCGCTCGTGTTTCTTTGGCACTGGTGGAGTTAGGGACCTGAATAAAATTTCGTGAAAAATATATAATACTTCAATCTTGCAATTCACGACGACAGCTTTCAAGCCGATTTTTATCTGGAAAATTGTGACTATGGTGAAGTTGCTTACCGCCGTACGGCCGAGTAAGCACTAGGTAGAGACTTTTTATTTCGTGCCCTTGAACTTCTTGACCCAGATCGAGATGGTGACCTTGCTCGTATGGCGGCTAGTCTGGAAGAGCAGCAAGCTTACGTAAGAAATAAGGAAATATCTCTGGACACAACTACTGTATACGTTTGTTTTAATTAAACACCCGACTACAATCAGATGACACAGATTACCTATCTCAATACTGCTATAAGTTTATATGAGAAAGATAAGAAAAATATGATTCACTGGTATCAACCTCAATAACACCTCACTTAGTACAAGTATTCAATAAAGTTGCTATTCTAATATCGATCCACTGTTCATTTTGAACATATTAGTGTCTACGACTTAGAAATTCTCGTGATTCCAATAGCTCACCCAGCAGGCTGTGGCAAGAGTGGTCTAGGCCTCTCCTCTTCAATCTCCACCTCCTCCACGACCCTCTCTGGGGTTGCCATGGGCGACGCCTCAACAGAGCTGGGTGGCAGCGAGTCTAACTTGCTGTCACTCTCAGCCTCCCCTGGTTTTCCTGGCTCGCCTGCACAGAAGCATCAGCACATCTTAGCAAAGTCGCAGGGCAATAAGAATATTCGACTATCTATCAAATGAAGCATTTATAGTCGATTTGGAAACATAGAGAAAGCGCACAGTAGTAACAATGAAATGCATGCATCATCACTAACATTTAAAGGCCATTCATGTTCATTACAGCTTAGTGTGAATCACGACTAGGCAATGCAACAGCAACATGGGCACAAACCTTTTAGCAGGCTGAGAAACATGGCAGCTTTTTTCTTTCTCTCTATCTGAAGCTGTTTCTCCTTGGATGCTTGTGCTAACCTTTCCCTTGCTGCTATAGCTAGTCTGTCTCTCAGTCTTTCTTCAGCTGTAAACAGGAATATAATCTAACAGCCTGCTTATAATCAATACTCAATAATAACTTGCCGTAATCATGTGTTTAACTTTGTACATCAGAGATGGTTACATCTCACATCTACTTCAACTTATTAACTTATCTACTACCAAAAAATCTGGACTGAATAAAAATGACAAAAAAATATGATTTTAACCCTACTCACCCTGTTTGGCCTCCAACTCATCCAAAGACTTTTTTGCCTTTTCTAAAACTTTGCTTTGACTGTCAGCATCTGTTATGTCAGGTGCGGATACACTGGCTACAGGACAGACAACCAAAAGCATCGGAGGCGAGTTTGTGTCTTCTACACACAGTGCTGTCATCTGTAAGAAACAACAGAAGAACAGTTTGTGAAAGTTCATCACTTAACGAGGTATGTTAGTCAGTAAAGAAATGAACAAATAGGATTACACAAGTCAGAAAAGGTACCGATTAAGTATCAGAAACAAAGCTAAATCAGATGTTCAACCGACAAGAACCTAACAAAAAGTCCGGGTCCGTCTAGGTTTTCAACACGGTCGTTTCTCCATACCGCCATCACACCTCCACAAATATTTAATACGAACGTTTACAGGAGCAAAATCATTGCCTGTACGCACACAGCACGTGACAGATGCCAGCACTTACCGATGGAGATTTGCTGGGAGGCTTAGCAGGTTCCTCTACTAAACCCAGCGTCTCCTCCTCCGTGGCACTCTCTTCACTCTCCTCACCGAGCAATGCGGGAGGTTTGTCCAATGCCGCGCGTTTCGCGTCGACATCCTTCGGCTTTATGGAAAAGCTGATCGCCACTGGTGAAGAAATGCACAGTTTTTAATTGCATCGGTACATCTCTAATACGATGAGACGACTAGATTTTCTCAAACATCGGCCACACAGTACAAAATGGACGATAAGTACATGAGTCAGCTAGACAACCATTACTCATGTTAATGCACAAAATCCATTGAGCCACCATCGTGCCGTTTCTCCGATATCACGAAACACGTTGAGTGACCAGCATGCCATTTCTAGCATTCTAGCAAAACAAGAAATATATTAAGCCACTAGCGTGCTGGTTCTCGCATAGCACGAAACACGTCGAGTGATCACCATGCTAATTCTAGCAAAGCAGGAAATATATTAAGCCACCAGCATGCAGCCTCCTACACAGCACGAGTTACGTTAAGCCACCAGCATGCAGCCTCCTACACAGCACGAGTTACGTTAAGCCACCAGTGTGATGTGTCAGGCATAGCACGAGCTCTCGCATGCTTACCCGGTTTACCCTTCCCACTTGATATCGAGGTCGGACCTCCGTTCTGCTCCACGCTGGCCTGCTGCGCAAACTGGGCTTCAAACAAGCCCTTCGTCTGCACGTAGTACGCATAGTGCTGGTGTCCCGGCTTCAGAAATTCGAACCGCTCGTCCTTCTTCGCGAGAAATCCCTCTTCGAACCGTGGCCCGTTGCGCACAGCGTACTCCGCCATCTTGATGATGATGGGCTGCTTGTCCGGAGGCGGCGGAGGAACCGACGTGTGCTGAGACTGCGAACTGGGAGAGACGAAGAAAAAGATTCGTACTTTCGCGACAGCGGGTAGCTCAGATTTCGAGAGAACCCCCGAAAACCCCGCATCCTTCCCATTTCTTTTCCTCCCCGTCTCTCTCTCTCTCTCTCGCTCACCCACTACATCACAATACATCAGAATAATCAGATACATTTCAAACGTTCGTGACTAAGGTAGCTCAAATTTCGAGACAACCTCTAGAATTTTTTTTTACGCTCTTCCCGTTCTCCTCCCCGTCTCTTTCTCTCTCTCTCTCTCTCTCTCTTGCCTGCTACATCACAATACATCAAAACTAGACAGAGTGCACTCACGGAGAGTGCATACCTCCGCCAGCGACATACGCCATACGACTCACGAACACACGAATAACGCACGATATACGCCAGCGTACGGACATATACACGCTGGCCGCTCGATGCTGCTGCTCGCTCACATGTACACGCTCGCTGGCTCGCTGCGCTGGCTGGATGGCTGGCTCGCTGACTCGACACGCTAATATCGATCGCGCGAACACACGAACACACGAACGCACGAGAGCGATCACATAACCTCCTCCAACTCCATTGGGCGGAGGTAATAATCGAACACGGTCCTATTGAATTGACACTTTGAGCTGACAATGCCGTATGCAGTTCATTCATACATTACCTCGTGCTATGCTGGTCGGGCGCACTGCAACTGTTCACCTCCGGAACGGGATTAACGTCCGGCAAGTACGGAGGCATCGTCTCAGCCGAGTCCACGCCCGGCGGCGCAGGATGCGAGTCAGTCTCGGCAGGATACGCGAGACTACTCGTCGCAGAGAGCTGCGTCGCGGAGGCAGGCGCGGCTTCGGGAGGGCTCGGCGCCCCCTGCTGGTCGAGACCCGAAGTGCTGTCTGGGGACGACGGGTTATTGCTGTCCAACCTGTAAAACAATAACGTTCACGGTCATACGGTTGCTCGGTCGTCAATACTTGCCCAACAAGCTATTCATATATATATATATAAAAAGTGTGTTTGGACTTACGAGTACACACGCTGACCGCGTCAATACATCTTTCATCACAATTTCTACACATCTATACACTCGTGACAGATCGAGGTAGAGTGATTCAACCTACGGGGCATCGATCTTGTATTCCTCCTGTGTTTGCTTCATGCGCGTTACGAGCTGCGCGTACGGACTGTCCAGCTTGCCTGCTGCCTGTAGCTTCCGAAGTTGTTCCAGCTGCAGATAGTGACAACAACATTACATATAGAATAGCACTAACTACACCTTTCATAGAACGTTTTAACTAATGAATGGTTCTCTTTAATTGCATACCAATATTTCTGCTCCCATATCGTCGGGAAATCATTACAACCTGCGTTTAAAAATTCGAGTTTGTTATCGATGATTTATGTAGATATTTAAAATCTGCGCTATAGATTCTCCTTTACCGAATGCGGAATATCCGACGTTTACTTCAAAAGGTTATCAACTGCAGACAAACCTCAACTGAATATGATCATAATAAGCACTTAATTACTCATTAATACTAACGTGTAGATTCTTGACACGTGTTGCTTGCTTCTTCGCAAACAGGCTAGGGTGTAAGTAGCCAACATCCTCTCCATCCTCATCATCTTCTGCCAAAGCCAGACAATACATGAGTACAGGGGCACCTAAACACATGCTTAAATGCAGCCAACGAGTACAATCCACCGTGTGTTACCAATATATACATATATTACCCCGAGCGTGCATGCAAACACTGCTATGCAGGCTGCAAAACCTTGAATACTATCATGAAAGCCCAATATATTAACGGGTCTGCTAAGAATCTTCTATTACTCTCCAGACAATTCAGAATGCAGGTTAATTTATCCACCCCTCCTTCCCTACCTACCAACCAAAAACGCACAAACCCACATGCACACCCACATTCACTCACATACCGACGTTCACACACGCACATGCGCACACACACACGTGCACGCACGTATGCACACGCGCACACACACACACACGTGCACGCACGTATGCACACGCGCACACACACACACACACGTGCACGCACGTATGCACACGCGCACACACACACCCACATGCACACGCGCACACACACACCCACATGCACACGCACGCACACACACACATACCCACATTCACACACGCACATGCGCACGCACGTATGCACACACACATGCGCACGCACACACGTGCATGCACGCACGCACTCGCACACACCATCCCAAAAAAGCAACCGCATTTCGAGCTTCGTACCGGACGACGAGGCGTCGGCCGTGCCGCGTGCCGCGCGCTCCTCGGGCTTGTAGCGTCCCTCGCGGATGCAGCGCTTCATGTGGTCGTAGTACGGGTGCAGGTAGTGGTCAAAGTGCATGAAGTTGAACTGAGAGTTGTTCGCCTGCTTCGTCTTGATGACGATCTCCATCTGCGCGCCGCGCTGCGCGACGAACGCCGCGGTCTTCTCCATGATGCTGTTCATCTTCATCGTCATCGGCTGCGGCGAGAAACGAACGAACGCGCGCGGTTCAGACGAGACTCAACGGTGAGAGAGAGAGACGAGAGAGGAGAGAGCGTAGAGCGAGAGACGCCAGAGACGAAAGACAGAGAGACAGGGAGACGAGGACAGGAGACCAGAACAGAGACAGAGACAGAGACAGAGACCAGAGGACAACACAGTAGGACATCCAGACCAGACACAAGACAGAGACAGAGACAGAGACAGAGACTAAGAGTACAGAGAGGAGACGAGAGAGGAAGAGATGGTGAGAGAGAGAGAGAGCAGGGAAGGGGGAGGTATGTTAGTGGAGAGAGGGAAGGGAGGAAGGAGCGAGGGAGGAGGAGGCGAGGCGCAGGGAGGGAGTTGAGAGGGAGCGGCAGGCAGGAGGGCAGATAGAGAGGCGGAGAGGATGAAAGAGACCACACCAGAGAGAAGAGAAGACGAAGAGTGGTTGTATAGGCCGAGTGGAGGGCGCAGAGATGAGGGAGGAGAGATAGGCGGGAGAGAGATGAGAGTAACGAGACTCCACGGAGGAGAAGAGAAGAGCTTTAGGGGAGTAGCAGACCTGAGTGTAAGGACCACAGTCGAGCGAGGCAGAGAGAGAGAGAGGAGGAGACGAGAGAGAGAGAGACGAGAGAAGCGATGAGAAGAGAGGACGAGATGAGAGAGACGAGGACGATGCTGAGGAGGGAGAGAGGAAGAAAGAGTGGGAAGCGGGGAGACGGGCGGCGACCGAGGCGAGAGGAGACGGCGGAGAGGGAGAGAGAGGGAGGCGAAAGAGAGAGAGAGCAGGGAGAGAGAGAAGATCGAGAGGTCGAAAGGAGAAGATGAAGAATGAGAGATAGAGAGAGAAGAGGTACTAGAAGGAGAGACGAGAGGATAAAGAGAGGGATTAGGGAGAGAGCAAAAAAGGAGAGCTAGAGAGCTAGCGAAGGATGAAAGAGACAGAGAGAGGAAAGAAGGTGTAGATAGAAGAAGAGAGAGAGGAGACGACGATGAGAGAGGGAAGAAGAGAGTGAGAGGAGTGGGCTCGGGGGAAAGAGGGAGAGAGAGAGAGATGAGAGAACTCGAGGACGCAGAGCAGAGAGAGATGTAGGGAGAGAGAAAAGGTAGACGCTAGCCGAGAGAGAGAGAGAGATTGAGAGAGAGAGATCGATCTGAGAGAGAGACGAGAGAGGGGGCGAGAGAGAGAGAAGACGAGACGAGGCAGAAGAGAGGCAGAGACGATCGAGAGAGAGAGGAGAAGAGAAAGCGAGAGCTAGCCGAAGACGAGAGAGGAGAGATGAGAGAAAGAGAAGAAGAGAAGGTGAAGTGCAGAGAGCAGAGAGAGAGATGGGCCGGGGGGGGGAGAGTCCACACATACACACAGAGATAGAGACTCCCTCGGAAAATTATTAAGTTTTTTTGGCCCTGCAGTTTCAAAACTGACCATGCAAATCACAACTGCACGGCTTGCTGGCTAATACATTGATATGAGCCCCATTTCTGTGGCTAGCACTTTCACGTGTCCTTCCTTCAAAGCTGCTGCGCGTAATCTCACCGTTTCAATGTTCGGTGTCAGTCCAAGTTCCTTTGGAGCAATAAAGGGCTCCTCATCCTCCCCTTCCTCTCTCTCTGGCTGCTCTTCTGCAGAAAGAATAGTGAAACCAGTTATATAGCTGCACGTTTGTTAAAGTGACAGACTGTATGGAATGACAAATGGTCTATTCAACGGGCTCCGAAATATTTTGTCGTTCTCAAAATTCATCGTCCCTAATTGGGCCACTGTAAAAATTTGCAGACACTTGTTACAGATAAATTGAAAGTAAAACGGACACGTATATTATGAGTTAACCTCGTCTTTAACCGATATGCATTGAAAAATTTACAGCGGCAAGTAAAACGGGAGCGGCCTATGGAAAAGGATTGCACTGCTAGTATACGCTTTCATCAAACTCAAACATGGTAAGCCCACAATTAAAAAAAATCTTTCTTTGCCCTCACCCGACCCAGGCTGAAAAGTTTGGGTTCGTAGGTAGGCTTTTTTTGAGGGGCGTCTTTTTACAAATTCAGCATGGTGTCTACATGCTCGGGTGTGTGCTTGTGTGGAGATACCTTTTATATTGTTAAATGTTTGTTTTGCTTGGTACATATAATGTATTGCCTACAGATTTCTATAATGTACAATGATAATTTGTAAAAAAAAAAGAAGGGAAAGATCAATAAAAATTTTGAGTCGGCCCCTTTTTGGCGGGTCGGTCGGGTGAAGGCAAACAAACAATATTTTGTATTATGGCCTAGTATACGCTTTCATCAAACTCCAACATGGTAATGATAGAAGCGAGTCCACTGACCTTTCTCCTCGGTAGGTTGCATCGGGTCATATTGATCAGACTCGTTTTTGTTGTCATATGAGAATCCGATGCTGTGATAAACTCCATCTGGCTGCAATGCTTCATGAAGCCTCTTCATCTCCTCCTCTGAATCAACAGATTTCCTAGTTTGCAATCACTCCCAATACACACACATACGACAATACATGCAACATATAGTTCTCCCATACTCTTTAACTAGTCTGAGTTTATAGAATACTTAAGACTAGGTCGCCCTGTTTTTTACACTATGGATTAGTGCATATCATGGAACCCCAGTACTAGACTAAGCAGCGTTGAAAATCTATGCAGCTATTCTTATAACCACCAAAAAAGAAATATTTGAAAATCAAGACAGACATTGTGATTGCATTTCCACTCGATATTCTATATTTCAAATATTAGTTACATTTGGATAGCAACTAGTTGTCGGTGAGTGATAAGTAGAGGTGGGCACCATTAAGTATGTTTTTCAGAATCAAGCCAAAATTTTCAATAAACGGTGCCTTGATTTGCTAACCTGCTGCTCAACCAATAACATTTCAAGCCCTAAGATGGGAAGCTTTCAGAATAGGTTTCAGTTCCATGTATTAAGCCCAGTCACCCTTATGTATTTTTATCAGAGTGGACACGAGCCATAACCATGCACCACCATCAACGCAGCGACAAAGGAGTGCCGGAGATTCATTGACACTCCCAAAGCGCCCAGTGCCATGCTCCCCCCATTCCCTTCGACCCTGCCGGTCGCTTTTTCATTGCAGGGTCCGAATTTCAGCCTGGCATCGAGACAGCAAGTGACATGCCATACTTGCTGTAGTGTCCCCAGAAATGAGATGAGATGATATCCACAGCGATAAACTGCCATGGATACCCTACCTGGGTGTTTTTTGACGCCTGTAATAGTAAACTGCAGAGTACAATATAGATAAAAAAAATTACATACATTCTGGTTGTTAAACTATTATAAAGAATATCCAAGCTACGAATATGTGAAAATGTACTAGATATTTATATCAGAAACCACTAATAATTACAATTATAAAACATGCATAATAATTATGAATAATAAAAGAAGTACAACAAGAACAGAAGAACTAATAAAAAAAAAGAAGCAAAACCAGGTAGCCGTTATAACAGCAAAATAGCTTAGCAACACGAATTTAATAGGACAAAACAGAACATGTGCCATTTCAGGGACTAATCTAGCTGCTTAATATGGGCACCCATGGCAAGCGTAAAAAAAAATTCCGGACCGTTGGCGAGCGCAGCTAGACTAAAATATTTTTTAGGTATAGGTAGATGTATAATAACATTAAAATTAATATCATCCTGATATATAACACAATTGTTTCAATATGTCCATGGATATGTTTTCTTTTTACCTCAGATAAGTAATAGAATGAACCAATTTGGGCGTTTTATGAATTTTGTAATTTGGGCGTTTTGCTAGGGGTCGTAATTTGGGTGCCGGTATTCGGTATGAAAACTGGCTTGGATTAGGCCCTGCCTTTTGTACTATTCTTCGCCTTACCTTGATATGTTTTCTCCTCAAGTAAGTCCTTGTACATTGCCATATATCTCTCCTCGTCACACAGTCTTTCAATCCGCTCCTCTTCCTCGGATGCCTGATAGTGTCTGCTGGCAGTATCGGCCTCATACTGATTCAGGTCATACACGTGACCTCTGCCATCATACCTAAAACCAACGCATCAGCGTGTTAGTCGTTTTGACACTCGCATGTGATACAAAATGCCTTGCATGAATGAAAACAGTGCATGAAGTGGATTAGAACCCACAAATATACAACAAGACAATATGGAAATACAGAAGTTCAGCCCTGGTTGCAGCCGAATCTACTAATTAATGAACAACACTCGTGTCAATACTAGAAATTCATTAAAACGTTGGTTCTGTTGGTAACAAAATTCATTACTACGCAGATAACAATATATTAAAAAACATAAAAAATCACACAATCACGGTTATATGAATGTATGTTAATGTATGGATCTATATTTCATACATGTATTAACTTTATATATTATATTAGACATTCTATTTAAGACATATATCAGTTTAAAACACACACATGTTCACAATACTGTAATTCAGAACATTGGCATATAATTCCTTACATTAGAAGTAAATATGGCAAATTCTTGTACCTGACATGCAGTCAAATTAAAATTAAGCTGTGATGTTTACACGTTTTATTATCAGAAATATAAAGTGCAAGTTACTAAATCACCTATAAATGCAAAATGTTTGTTTCATTTGTCACTTTTTATCTAGGGGACATTAACCACCTTCAATATACTCACCCAACTAGCAAAAACTGAAATAGACATTTTATAGCACAAATTCTTCTGATGACGGCGCAAAAAAGCAATCGGTGTTAGCCTATTGATGGACACACTAAGCACAAATACATTGTTATCTCTGCTAAGGCTCAAGTCTATTGCAGACAGCCCCACGGACATGCCTCCTACGCTAACAATTATATCAGGGTGAGAAATTCACCTTCATTATATAGTAGCCACACAGACTATGTGCCTTTTACTAATCTAGTTGTTCAGACATTTTGGTATAGAAATTCAATTTGACAGTAATAAATTATGTAAACGCATTTCCACATTGCACTATTCTTTGCACCATGGTACCATACCATACAATATCATGGCACCTATATACCATGGTATCAGGAGTCTATCAATATTGATAGACTCCTGATGGTATGTATATATACAATGAGTAAATGTAGAATTTTAAATAGGAAGGTGGTTTCTAACAAGTGAAACCCTAGAAGCATAGGTTGTGGATTTCAAATGGACATCTGCTGAAATGTACTTATTTTAAATTTCTGACTACCATGAATCATACACCCTGGCATGTATAGCTAACCAGGCCCCTGGCACCCACTAAGAGCAACCTATAGGGGAATAAACCAATTTTGCAATTTGAAAAGCACTTTGCCATCATTAGAGGTGTGCAAGTCACCTAAACATTTGACAAAAACAGGGTCAAATGCACAAGTAAGTATTCTGAAGAAGAGTGAAAATTACACTCTTTGCCAAAGTAAACAACTGACTGCCCATATTATTACACTGTGACAGACGTTTACTTGGTTTTGACAATCCTTCAATGACCTGAGCATGCGCCATTGACATGCAAAATTGGTTTGCTGTCGGTGGGGGTGCCCAATATAGCCTTGGCCTAGGTCTGTATTCACTAGTTTATAATTTTAAAGGAGGGGTGTACTTATATCACTTGCAATTTAGCATGTTATGCCACGTACTGACTAGACAAATTCCTGTGCATTTTTTTATGGAGAAAGATCATTGGCATTTCAAGATGTCGTGCCTGCGATAAAAGGGTACACTATTAATGCTGGAAATTTTATGGAAATGATTTCAAATGTTGGTGGGCCCACCAATGTTTTGGATGGTGTGATGCAAGACACACCTCCTTTAAATTATAATTTGTATATATGAAATATAGAATTTTCCTGATCAAACCGTTTTTGCGTCGAGCATACTTATCCTCCCTCCGTGAAATCGCTGCATACGCTGCCGCTTGTGCTATATTTCCTTCAAATTGTTGTGAACTATGCCGGGATGATCTAGCTTCTGAACTGATGCTTATGCCAGTTCTGAGTCCAAGCTGAAAAGATGCTTCTCACACAACACACCTGCCACTAACGAAAGACTACACGGAAGAAATAAACAAATCTGTTACAATTAAGGTAGATTTCACAATCCAGAAACCTTTACATACTCATGCCATGAGTCTTTCAACGTTTTCAGCACAATGTGACATGTCTGGGGTTGATTTTTTGTGCAGGGCAGAGCACAGACCTGTCAATCATCAGTGATTCGTCGCCCATCCATGGGATCAGATGTTTTCCTCTGTCGATATAGCGGGCTCTTTCATCATCTCTGAAAAGCTTGCAGGCATATCCAAAAACCAAAAGATCATCTAGGTCGTCACTACGTTTGCTTTCGGGCAGTTCTTTCTTCTCCCATCTTCCAGCAGTTTTCTTCGCCATTTTCTGTGACCATACTATGGCTGGAATCAAGCGAGCATTCATAACCGCCAGGGGGTAGATGGGGAAGGGGGATGTCGAAATATAGAACAATTTCTAATCAAAAAGAACAAGAACAGACAAAATACCTGAGAAAAAGCTGTGGAGGCACGCGTGATTTAAAATCATACAAATAAACAAATGGTAATGCTTACATTCCTAATAACAAATGTCCATAAGTAGTGCATTTACGGTCGAGAGATGGCGCGAAATGGTCTGATTTTTTCATATCCGGGTTCCCTGCACTGGTTCCCTGGAACTGGCGTGCGTTCAGTGTACGCACCATAGCAAGGCTTGCACCATAGGTACGCACCATAGGTACGCACGCCAGACCCAGGGTACCCGGATGATTTTTTCATAGATATCACGTAATACTAATATATAAATTATAGCGTGTTATGGATTTTTTTTATATATAATTTATTCAGTTGGGTATTTAGGAACACACGAAAAACAATTCATATGTACATGAATAAAATATTCTGCTAGAAAATCATATCCCGAAAATTGCTTAATCCAATATTCAATAATATGATAATATTACATTTAATGCTTGCTGAGGTGAGGGAGAGAGGGTCAGAGAGGGGTGGGCGACTGAAAAAAGGCGACACAGATTCTGTACTGACTGGTCATACCAAAGACCTTAATTATATATATTATGGTCTTTGGTATATAGGGTCTTTGGTTATACACAGCGGGGACCTTACATGGAAGGTCTATTCCCTATTTCTTAAGTGAAGTCTTGAGTGAATCTTCTCTATTTTAAATTCATAATTTTCGCAAAAATTCCCTTCCGATATATCCCTGGAGATATCGCGCATGTGCGAGAACCGCTATACAGGCATGCAGTACGGATTGAAGAAAACTGCATAATATATAGCTTACTGAGAGAGGGGTAGAGACTGGCTAGCTGTCTGAGGAAAGGCGACAGAGAAGACAGGTGAAGAATAGGCCTACGTAGCAGACGAAGAAAGAGGGTGAACGATCGAAGGGCAAGAGAGACGGGAGGGGATGAAGTAGTAGTTTTGCACCTTACAGGTTAGGTCGCTCTCCTAATTATAAACACAGGTCTACTGATAACAATTTATTACATAAATTTATGCTGAGATACCACCTAACACTAATAAATGCATATATTCATCGCAAAATATAACTCCTCTGGTCAGATATTGCCGGGATTTTGCGCGTGCGCTAATACGCTAACGTAGCCAGATTGTGTATATACTGGCTGGAATATGCAGCGGACACATTACATGCAGGTTCTTATTCCCATTTCTTAAGAGAAGTATACTGATGGAATATTATAATAAATATCTATGCTAGAATACCTTCTCTCCATTTGAAATGCATAATTTTCGCAAAATATTATTCTTCCCGGTAAATAGGCCTATTGCGCATGCACGAGCACCGTTTCAGGCGTGCATGACGAACTGAAGAAAACTTCATATTCATAATGTAGCTTGCTGAGAGCGCGAGAGAGAGAGAGAGAGAGAGAGAGAGAGAGAGAGAGAGAGAGAGAGAGAGAAGTGGGAGACCGAGGAAATGCGACAGGGAAGATAGATGAGGGCAGTGGAAGAGGAAAGAGGCTGATCGAGGGAAAAGGGAGCCAAGAGGGAAGAATGGGAGGGGATGAAGTAGGAGTTTTGCACCCTACAGGCTATGGCGCTTTCCTGATTATTAACACAGGTTTACTGATAAGGATTTATTACATAAATCTATATACTCAGATAGCCCCTAACCATATTAATTGCATATTAATCACAAAATATGACTCCTCTGGTGAGATATTGCGCATGCGATAATACACTAACTTAGCCAGATTGTGTACTGGCTGGTATATGCAGCCAGCGCCCTACAGGCTAGGGCGCTCTTCTGATTATTAACACAGGTTTACCGATAAGAATTTATTACATAAATCTATACTCAGATAGCCCTTAACCATATTAAATGCATATTAATCACAAAATATAACTTCTCTGGTGAGATATTGCGCATGCGCTAAAACACTAACGTAGCCAGATTGTGTACTAACTGGTATATGCAGCGGACACATTACATGCAGGTTCTTATTCCCATTTCTTAAGAGAAGTATACTGATGGAATATTATGATAAATATCTATGCTAGAATACGTTCTCTCAATTTTAAATGCATAATTTTCGCAAAATATTATTCTTCTCGGTAGATATTGCGCATGCATGAGCACCTTTTCAGGCGTGCAGGACGGACTGAAGAAAACTGCATAATATAGCTTGCTGAGAGAGAGGGGTGGGAGACTGAGGAAAGGCGACAGGGAAGATAGCTGAGGGCGGTGGAAGAAGAAAGAGGCTCAGCGAGGGAAAAGAGAGCCAAGGAGAAGGATGGGAAGGGATGAAGTAGTAGTTTTGCACCCTACATGCTAGGGCGCTTTCCTGATTATTAACACAGGTATACTGGTAAGAATTTATTACATAAATCTATACTCAGATAGCCCCTAACCATATTAAATGCATATTAATCACAAAATGTAACTCCTTTGGTGAGATATTGCGCATGCGCTAATACACTAACGCAACCAGATTGTGTATTGGCTGGTATATGCAGCGGGCACCTTACATGCAAGGTCGTCTTCCCATTTCCTAAGAGAGGTCTACTGATGGAATGTTATCATAAATATCTATGCTAGAATACCTTCTCCCCATTTTAAATGCATAATTTTCGCAAAATATTCTTCTTCTCGGGAGATATTGCGCATGCATGAGCACCGATTCAGGCTTACAGCTCGTGCAGTACGGACTAAAGAAAACTGCATAATATAGCTTGCTGAGAGAGAGGGGTGGGAGACTGAGGAAAGGCGGCAGGGAAGATAGCTGAGGGCGGCGGAAGAAGAAAGAGCCTCAGCGACGGCCAAGAGAGCCAAGGGGAAGGATTGGAGGGGATGAAGTAGGAGTTTTGGACCCTACAGGATAAAAGCGCTCTCTTAATTATTAACACAGGTTTACCGATAAGAATTTATTACATAAATCTATACTCAGATAGCCCCTAACTATATTAAATGCATATTAATCACAAAATATAACTCCTCTGGTGAGATATTGCACATGCGCTAATACACTAACGTAGCCAAATTGTGTACTGACTAGTATATGAAGCGGACACCTTACATGCAAGTTCTTTTCCCCATTTCTTAAGAGATGTCCCCTGATGGAATATTATGATAAATATCTATGTAAGAATACCTTCTCTCCATTTTAACTGCATAATTTTCGCAAAATAATATTCTTCTCGGTAGATATTGCGCATGCATGAGCACCTTTTCAGGCGTGCAGGACGGACTGAAGAAAACTGCATAATATAGCTTGCTGAGAGAGAGGGGTGGGAGACTGAGGAAAGGCGACAGGGAAGATAGCTGAGGGCGGTGGAAGAAGAAAGAGACTGAGCGAGGGAAAAGAGAGCCAAGGAGAAGGATGGGAAGGGTTGAAGTAGTAGTTTTGCACCCTACATGCTAGGGCGCTTTCCTGATTATTAACACAGGTATACTGGTAAGAATTTATTACATAAATCTATACTCAGATAGCCCCTAACCATATTAAATGCATATTAATCACAAAATGTAACTCCCACCAGCGGAGTTATATTTTGTGATTAATATGCATTTAATATAGTTAGGGGCTATCTGAGTATAAATTTATGTAATAAATTCTTACCAGTATCCCTGTGTTAATAATCAGGAAAGCGCCCTAGCATGTAGCGTGAAAAATTACTACTTCATCCCCTACCATCCTTCTCCTTGGCTCTCTTTTCCCTCGTTCAGTCTCTTTCTTCTTCCGCCGCCCTCATGCTATCTTCCCTGCCGCCTTGCCTCAGTCTCCCACCTCTCTCTCTCAGCAAGCTATATTATGCAGTTTTCCTCAGTCCGTCCTGCACGCCTGAAACGGTGCTCGTTCATGCGCAATATCTCCCGAGAAGAATATTATTTTGCGAAAATTATGCAGTTAAAATGGAGAGAATGTATTCTTACATAGATATTTATCATAATATTCCATCAGGGGACATCTCTTAAGAAATGGAGAAGAGAACTTGCATGTAAGGTGTCCGCTTCATATACTAGTCAGTACACAATTTGGCTACGTTAGTGTATTAGCGCATGTGCAATATCTCACCATGATATTGCGCATGCGCTATTACACTATTACGTAGCCAGATTGTGTACCGACTGGTATATACAGCAGGCACCTTACACGCAAGGTATTAATTCTTCCTATTTCTTAAGAGAGGTCTATTGACAGAATGTTATAATATATGAATCTATGCTAGAATACCACTTCTCCATTTTAAATGCTACCGTTTTTGATTTTAGAGCAAAGTAACAAAAAGGCGTCGGTATTAATTGTATGTAACCCCAAAAGTAAATAGAAATAAATAATGGAACAAAGCTACAATTTACAAAAGCAACTGCAAATTACAAAAGCGCAATCATTCTTTCGGCCTAATCCGATTCGGCCTAAGCCGATCCTACACGGTATTAGGTTCTTGAAACTTTTGCACTCTCCGTCAGAATTCGCTTTTTCTACGGCCCTGTTATTGATATAAGTGTAATTGATACAGAATCACATTCTAGTAATCTAGTATATTGTAGCCAATATTGAGCCTCTTCACTTCGGCATAAATACAAGGACGTGTTTGTTTCGAGCCGATCCAGATTCATTGCGTCATACCAAGTGACAGCGTTCATTTATTTAGTTTCGTCTAACTAAAAACTCTAGATCACTGTTAAAATGTATAAATATTTGTTTTAGATTTTGCTGTGTCAGACTAGTACGAAAACTGGTTATTGGATATTACATATTGATGTGATCCCCAGTGTAGTTCAGCAGTATAATTTATATTATTTTTCCTAGTTGATCCTGCTAACTTTTGTTAAATATTTTATAGTGAAATAAAACATTTTCTGTGTGTCTCATGTAGTAGCATGCAGCACAACATAATTTCAACAAAAACCCTATCTATCAACGAAAAATCTGAAAATTTGAAAATCGTTGAAACAACGTCGACATTTTCACGTCGATTTTAGTTATAAATCCAATTCTTGTTTCACGCCATTTCAACAATAATTTCCGACTCTGTTCTTACGTTGTTACGGCTAGATTTCCCGCTGGGCTGTATTTCATGGATCCGCATCCACTACTGAGCTTGCCCACTCTCTGCATGTCACAAAACCGGACCCGTCACTGGCATGTCATAACCTCCCCACCCCCACCC